CCAAACCCCAAAAACTTCTCCCAGCTAGATGTACCCGGATCTTGCAAGGAGGCAGCAAACTCAGTGAATTAATAGGAATAGGAATTATTGGTCTGGACACAGGTGGTGTGGGACCTTTAAAGGAGATAAATAGGTCTGAGTCCAGATGGTAGGCTAGCTGGGAATTATAATATATGCAACTTCTTGATCCATGATGGGAAAAAGATATCCTACATCAGGGATCTGCAGTACCAATTTTTTTACCCCTGCAACAGGGCACCGGGCAACATTTTCCATTACAAAAGTGGCCCCAAAATTGCAACCTGACATGACTTGTTGTAACTTCCAGATTCAGCCATAAGTTTGTGGAACTTTAGTGGAGACCTTTGGAGACTGAAGGTGTATGTTGCCAAATAAAATCTTCCTCTGACTGTGTATTTGGGGTGAAAGCACCCATAGGATTCTTTGTGCCTCCCCCCAAATAACAAAATTGGATGGAGATACAACACTTAAAGTGGTGTCAGGTTGCATTATTTTTACAGTATAGATGCATTCCTAGATTTCTCCATGCTGTAACACTCTGTTTCTAGCTGTGTTTCTAAAATGTAGTAGATGAAAAAGTAGATCCTTTTGTTGCTAGGCAATCACACTATGCTTTCATCCTCCTCTTTTCAGAACCAGAACATGTGCTTGTGGCTGGAGGATGGTTATCTGATAGCTATTTATACATTCACCTGGACAGAATGGAACATCTGCAGGGAAAAGGGGATTTGTTGACTGCCCCAAGACATTCATCCATATAGGTGCAAAGAGTTTATGAGGTACAAACGTCCCTGGACCAACTCTTGGGACTTAAACTTCTTATAAAGTACCCAGCTGAATGAAAAAGCTTATTCTAGCCTTCTCCCCCTATAATTGTGGGTGATAGAATCTGTTATCCAAAACACATCTGCAAACACATTTGCATGCCTGAAATCCTAGAGAGCCACACTGACTGTCATCGTAAACAAGATTAGCTAGAGATCAGTGATTCCCAAACTTTGGTCCTCCAAGTGTTTTGGACCAAGAAGCCCCATTCAGCTTGGCCAACAGTCAGGAATTCTGGGAGATGAAGTCTAAAACATCTGGAGGGCCAAAGTTTGGGAACTATTGAACTAGATGTGCCAAAGGCTCAGTGGTCCAGTGATTCCCAAACTTTGTCCTCTAGATGTTTTAGACTTCATCTCCCAGAAATCCTGACTGTTGGCCAAGCTGGCTGGGGCACTTTTCTTTGGTTCCACCCCAGTGATGGATGCAGTGCTTGTGCCTTGGAACAAACAACCAGCTTCCTCTGATCCCTGCTTGCCTGCCACACTCAACAATAGAAATAAACACTCTCCAGGGGAAGAGAGAGAGCGGGAGAAAAGGCTTCTGCTAAAATGTCATTACTTCCGCAATAAACAAAACATTATTCCCTTTTATGGTTTGCTGATGTGCCAAGTTGTGCTTTTATAACACAATAGCAGCATTGTTCTCATCGAGTCAGCAGCCTCATGTGTTATTTTGGTTACTGCTGCTGCTTGCAGTACCATTCTCTGTGATGATTTATTTAGCCTTTTGATTTAGGCTTCCTGAATGTTGTTCTCCATGGATAGAATACCTCTGACGGGGTGGAGACATCCCCATGACTAGACATCTGTAGTCCATGTGTGGCCAAATTTTCATTTGTACTTGGCAGGGTAATGTTCTTACAGGCCCAATGCAGTCTGCTGAACAGTAAAGGTTTCTATTGTTTACCTATAAAGCAGTACAGATTTTCCCACGTTTCTTCTCGGCAAGTTAGTCATCCTGTTGACGTACACCCCTGGCTTATCATGTGGTTATAAGCATCCCAAACTGGTTATAAAAATAGGCATCTAGTCACACATGTGTCGATAACACAAAAGTAACCTTTATTTCTATTACCCACTGCAAAGGTCAGTCTCCTACTCTGATAATTGTCTAGAAGAGCCTTTGCATTTATTTCCCTGCATGGCTAAACAACAGCCATTTTGTGTTCTGTTGAACCCAAGCTGTGCCAAATTGTGCCTTGTCAAAGGTGAGCTTGAGCTCCTTCTTTACACTTGAAGCTGCATTCTCAACATGGCTTTGAACCCCTGTCAATAGGATTTTAAAAAATGACTTGTACATTGTGATTGCCTTCTTTCACTGTTGACACCTCCTACGTTGAGAAAGAGGAGAAGACCACCCCCCTACATGGCACATAATTTTAGGCCTCAGCTTGAAAAGGTATGTTTTTTGACCACAATCCCCAAAATGCCCCAATTTGCTTAGTCAATGGCAGTGCTGGTTGAGAGGTTTTTGGAATTATAATCTCAAAAAGAGCCAGCATGTATAGTGGTTTGAGTGCTAGACAAGGACTATGGAGCCCTGTCTGCCCAGGCCAAATAAAAAGTCCTCCCCACATTCCCACAGCAAGCAGTCTGGATGACACAGGGCTCAATCTCTGGTTCTGGTGCCAAGTGTCTATTTTATATATTTCTATGCCATTATATTTAATGAGACTTGAATATCCACTGGTTTTGGTATCCACAGGAGTGCCATTTCTATGCCATTATATTTAATGAGACTTGAATATCCACTGGTTTTGGTATCCACGGGAGTGGTGGTCTTGAAACCAAACCCCAGCAAATACCAATGGCCCACTGTAAATAATCTTTTCCTCCAGGTCTTTCTGAAAGATCCTGAGCCCTCAGTTGTGATGCCAGGTGGCTGTTTACAACACCTCCGGCTGTGCCACCCAGTGCTTCCAACACTGGTGCAAGTCAGTTGCTCTGAGATCAGAATAAGGCACCCAGCCATGTGATTGATAGTGGGTCCCTTGTTCTGATCTCAGAGCAAGCAACACATGCCACCGCCAGCGCCAGGTCGCACAATGGGACACGCGTGCAAATAGTTGGTCTGTCTCGCAACAAGAGTGCTAAAGCTAACATGGGGATGTCAGGGAAGCTTTGGGGCCAGAATACTCCAGGCTGCTCCTAAAATATTCTGGCACCTATGGACTTGCCCTGGGAGATCAGGATTCAAATCCTTGCTCAACCATAGAAACTATGGGGTGATCTTGAGCAAGTCACACTCTCTTAGGGCCTTTGCAGACTGCCAGAAATAGTGCACATTCAATTGAGGCACTGCCCTGACTCAGTGCTAGGGAATCATGGAAAATGTAATTTATTGTGGCACCAGAGCTCTCTGACAGAGAAGGCTCAATGTCCCAGAAAATAATACAATTCTCATGACTCCCTAGCACTGAGCCAGGGCAGTGCCTCAATTTAATGTGCACTATTTCTGGCAGTCTGCAAAGGCCCTTAGTTACAGAGGAAGGCAATGGTAAACCCTCTCTGAACAAATCTTGCTGAGAAAAACCTCACTATAGGTTTACCTTAGGGTCATCATCATTTGGAAAAGACTTGAAGGCACACAACGACCCTTAATGATGTTTGTTCCTGAGCACAAATTTCATTTGTGCATCACTAAGGACAATCCCCAACAGAGCTGCAGCATATTATGAGCTTTATTTGTACACTGAAGGGCATATTTGAAAAAAGAGGTTTAAGCGTCTGTTATGACATAACTGATTTAATAAAAATTTTACTATACAGCAAGCTTGGATTCATATTCCAAGCCCTGCACTGGAATTGTAACCATTGTATCATCTGGGTTTTTTTTTTTTTTTGGTAGTGGTTTCTTTCTAAAAAAAAGATCCTTAGAAAATAAATATAGGCCTTTTTGTTTGTCATTTTAATTCTCTTGCGTTTTTACCACTTCAACATATACTGCATTGTAGGGAAGAAAAATTTGAGTACATTCTGGCAGAGTAAAAAGCATCTGAGGAAGTAGACTGAAGTCTACAAAAGCTCATGCTACCAACTTCTTTCTTTCGGTTAGTCTCAAAGGTGCTACAAGATCTCGCTACATAATGATTCTACAGACTAACACGGCTATATCTTTGAATTCTGGCAGAGTGATATACTTACCTAAATTTGGAAAAGTTACATTTTGAACCACAGCTCTCCAGATTCCCTAGCTGTGGCCATGCTGGCTGGGGAAATCTGGAAGCTATAGTCCAAAAAGTACCATTATATGAAGCTCTGACCAAAAAAAGGAAAGAATTTCTGACTCCTGGAAGAAAAGTCTGAATGTTCTGTTTCAGAGAGAAAATAATGAAAACATTAACATAACCTTTTGAGTTGTTATACTTAGTAGGTATCATTTAACTTGTCTTATGTATGTATAGTTTCCTATTAGGCAGCTTTGAGTACATCAGTCCTGGTTTTGCCTGGAAATTTAAGGTTTCTAGCCTCACCTCTGCAACCTTTTCAGATCAAGGAATTTCCCTCCTCCTTTCTAAAGAGTAGCTTTTTTAAAAATCAAAGCTCTGCTTGTGGTCTGAGGACCCCTTGAAATAGGGCTTCCTCATTCCTTTCTGCTGACTTTGCCTACAGAGGGCCCAGTATCTGGAGGAGGATATCTGAGTTATATCCCTGTCCGTAACAGATTACTTCAAGGTCTGCCTAGCTATTGATTTATTACATTTTTTGTTCTTGAAGGGCATGAGGTAACAGGGCATGTTTGCACTGGGGGTTTATTGCTTCTTCAACTAATTTACTAGATATGTCCATACCACACTTCAAACGTTCCTTCTAGACCCCTATATGGAAAGGATCTGGGACAGTAGCAGTCCTTCTACTTCTTCAAGGCCACTGAACCCTTGAACAGGGTGCCCTTCTACAAGAACAACAATGCAAATCAGATCTGTAGGTTGACTAGCCTTTCTCCCTAGGCAGAGTTTTAAAAACTCAAGTGAAGTATCAGGGATTTTCATGGATTCACAGGAAAGCTGGTCTAAGAACAGTGTTGTTGTTGCGTAGTTGTGTGCCTTCAAGGAACTTCTGATTCATGGTGACCACAAGGCCAGGGGGTTTGTCTTTGCCATCTTCTGATAAGAAAGTGTAATTTACTTAAGGTCACCCAGTGAGTTTATATGGCTGAGCAGGGATTTGAACCCTGGTCTCCAGAATTATAGTGCAATGCTCAAACCACCATATCACACTGGCTCAAAATACTAAAAAAATAAAGATCCAGGATCAAATCCCCAGTCATAAAGGAGCTATTCTGGGTGACCAATGCCCAGTCACCATTTCTCAGGCTGATCTATGGCTTAATGGGATACTACTTGGAAGCCCCATGCATCCCATGTTGAGTTCTATCTGTGATAGAGTACACTTGGAATTTACTATTATTCTCATTGTCCTTATCACCAGCAGCCAACAAGGATGCCAGTGCAGATGGTCAGATATTTTGTGGCTTGTCAACTGATTTAGAAGCCGTTCCACACATGCAGGTAGTTTGAAAGACACCACTGAACAAGACAGCAATGAAGTCATTGCCAGAGAGTATATAACAGAGTAGGCCTCCAGATGTTTTTGGACTTCAGCGCCTAGATATTTTTGGCCAGGGTGGCCACTCAGAGGCCCAAAGACAGCCCACTCCTGGAGTATAGAAGAGAAATGGCTCAAGAGTCATGTCTCAAGAGAAAACTGAGTTCCACCTCTAATTTTAGATGCAGCATGGGGAGTGAAGAAACAATGACTATTGTTCTACAATGGAGACAAATCTCAAAAGATGTATACCAGCAAGGAACCTTCACTGACATTTCCAAAATGCTGAAAATGGGGACGTCACATGTGACTCACAAGCTTGTACCGGAGGAAGAGTCTCAAGGTGTGCATTTGTGAATCCACGTATGTGAAAGAAATCAAGGGGGTGGTGAAACCACTTCTTTCTTTCTTCTTTAAAGAAGCAGAAAGAAATATTGAGACCAATGCTTGTGCAGGCAACCCACACACCTCCCACAGATGGCTGAAAATAACACAGGTTCAACAATTTTCACAGATACACAAACCTTGCCACTGAGTAATGATCAGACCAAAAAAGAATCAGTATCCCAAAACTTGGGGACACTTTGCTAGTGCTTTTTTAAAATGACTTTGGGCTCATGACAGTTCTCATGGTTTTAACTTTAGCGGCCACTCAGATTCATCTACAGCCAAAGTGGATCATGTTTTTCAGAAAACAAATAAGACTGAATTAACTGTTGATCATGGTAGACAACTGGTGACTCAGGAGCACAATCTTGTCAGCAAAGATTATTAGCCTGGTCTCAAGGCATTCCAGGGTGGGACCATATCCCATTGGTAGCACACATGAAAACCCAGATTTCAGCAGTTAAATGATGTGAAAGGCTTCTACCAGGGATCCTGGAAAACTGCAATCAGATAAGAGTGGGTTAGATGAATAAAACATCTGACCTAGAAGAGGTATGTCTCAGATAATAAGGTACACATGTTTCTGGAAATTATTTCTTTAACAGAACATTTGGTACCGAAGACAGAAAGAATAGGCATGAGTTCCTGCACCACAAAAAAATAAGAGCAACTGGACATGTTTCAGTGAACTTTCAGTTCAAAACTAACAATATGTGCAGATGGAATGACACGACCAGGTCAGGTAAGCCTTATATAAGTAAAGAAAAATGTGTTGAATGTCTAGAGAACAACCTGAAGGCATCTTCCAAAATGTATCTAAGCATAATTTTTTCCCTTTCACTTTTCTTATGATTTCTGTTTTGGAGGCCAAGCATATATAGATCCATGTTGGTGAACCTATGGCACATGTGCTAGAGATGGCACACAAAGCCATTTTGCCTGGCATACGGAATGGGGAAGAGGAGGAAAAGGAGGAAGGTCCCACCCCAGAAGTCCCACCCCCATAGGGCAGAAGTCCTGCACTGAAAGTCCCATTCCCCCCTGGAAGTCCCACCTCTGGTACGGGGTAACACCTGGTGCTGGAAAGCTGTTTAGTTTAGACACTCGGTGCCTAAAAGGTTTGCCATCACTGATGTAAATCTGTGGGTTTTCTTAACATGCTGGAAGAAGCTGGGGAGACACGGAGACCCTCTCATGGGGTTTCATGGCCACTTTCTTCGGGGGGGGTGCCACTGCCATCCTCTGAGACTGAGAGAGTATATCTTGCCCAAGGCCACCCAAGGGCCTACCCCTACATTAAATCATATTTTCCAGTTGCGTGTTTTAAAAGCTAGAAATGCATGTGCCTATTTTCTTATAAAGCCTGGCTCCTTCATATGGGGCAGGGATCTCAGATGGCTCAAAATTATTGAAGGCAAATAGTTGGTAACAGTTTCACAAATGGCAGGATCTAATGTAGCTCAAATGCTCATCCGATATTATTTCATGGAACAGAAAAGGCAGTACTTAATATTTTAAAGCCTCTCATAAGTATTCTATTGATTGCTGCTAAAAGCATTGGGCCTGATACTGGAAAAATCCCCCACCTCCCTCGGTTCAGGAACGGTTATAAAAATGTAATGATTTGGCAGCATATTGATAAAATAATGGATCTCATTCATAAAAGAGATGGGTCCTAGAGGGCAGTTAATTCCAAGGGGGAAAGGTCAGTTTATTTATTTTTAAAATAGAATCCTAATTGCCACATCCAGTTCTTGATAGAATTAGAAATTTATTTTTGTAGCTTCTTTGTTTGTCTATGATAATATGGTTAGCATAATCATCACCAATATCATCACCATCTGTTGTGGTTAATAACTGCCATCAAGTCAACTTCAATTTATGGTGACCCATGGATGAGAGACCTCCAAGTCACCCTATCATCACAGACTCAGGGCAACCATGGCTTCCTCGATTGAATCTTTCCATCTGGAAAGTGGTCTTCCTCTTTCTCTACTGCTTTCTATTCTGCTAAGCATGCTGGCTTCAGGATTCAGAGAGGTCTAGGCCCCCCAGAGTACCTTTCTTAACTTCACCAGAAATACCATTTGGAAATGACCAACTGGTAATGGGGCTGAGATTTATTTTATTTTTTATGAAGGTTAGGATAATGATCATGATTTCTACAACCTCGTTGCAACCATTTTCTTAATACGACAACTTTAAACATGCTTGCTGCCAATACCCAACTATGATCTGGCCCATCAGTGGCCATAGTGACTAGAGGATTATGAGATGTATAATCACTCTGAGAAAAGGTGACCTGTATATTAGGTCCATCTGGACTTGAAGCTGACTGTTTTTTCAGACCACCAATCTGGTTAATTGCTACAACACACATTTACTGATCACACAAGTGAAATAACAGTTGATGGCCCTGTACACAAGCCAAGCCCGTCCTCCTCCAGTTTCTGCAAATGAGAACCCCATGCAGGAATTATTAGTGGGCTTGCAAACCATGGTCTGCAGCGGTGGCAATTCAGTTAACAACAAATCAACACACCATCTTTTAAAGACCATTTTCCCTCTCTGATAAAGACAGAGCACACAAGGACTAATTATAGCCTCTTTTCCTTCAGGCGGACAATTACCAGTGACACAAAATAACCCTCAACAGGCAACTGCTGTTACTCATTATCAAGGGGTTCTAAGCCATGTTTCTTTTTCTTTTTCATTGCTACACTGGGCAAAACAACAACAAGCAAAACACACTCACCATCACAATAAATAGCTTCTCTTCTAAGGTACAGAAAACACAGGAGGTCCTCCATCACCGCTTATTTTCTAGTAATGTTGCCACATTCTGTTAAGCCAGTAACAGAAATATAGTGGACCCTCCACATTTGCTGGAGTTAGGGGCACAGGACTCCCATGAAAGTGGAAAACCCACAAATAAGACACTTTTTTTAAAAAAATGTGAGAGAACAACTCTCTAAGAATATCTAGTTCCTCCAGTGCATGTCTGTGATCAAGATCTGCCAGAAGTTGACCATGAAATTGCACTGGAGGACTACAAATGCCTAGAGAAAAGTTCTCTCTAAGAATCTCTAGGTCATCTAGTGTGACTTTTAGCAGAAGCTGACCATAGAGTCATGCTGGAGGACCTAGAGAGAGCATTTTAATCCAATCCAGGAATAATCAGATCTGCAAATGTCAAAGCTGCAAATGTGGGGAGCCAACTGTACTACAACTGGGGTCTTCCAAATAAGACTGACATGTAGAAGACTGAAAATGGAGCCCCTCCCACCCAAGTTGTTTCATGCCCTCCAACATTTCACAGATGAAATTTGGCACCTGTGTGGCCAAGAAACATCAGAGTTACAGAACGTGATATGTAATTTCTTTCTTTCTTTCTTTCTTTCTTTCTTTCTTTCTTTCTTTCTTTCTTTTTCTTTCTTTCAACTTCCAACCTAAGTTGCTTATGCTGCCCTTGAAAAGTGCCCGAGAGCATTCAGTTTATGACAAACCAGACAGGATATTAATACTGACTCTGAGTAATTTGCATGGGAAATTTAATGATCTGGACACACCCCACTACCAAAGAGTCTGATGAACAGGAAAGGAAAGGAAGAAGAAAAAGAAAAGAACCCAAAGCTGCAATTAACCAGAGCTCCAGATGTTAAGGTAACCCTCTTTGGCTAGGAGATAATTAGGCTGTGTATACTTCCTGGCATAAGAAGATCCACATAGGGCATTACAAGTATTTACTGGAGTCACCAAACCTTGCAAATGAGAGGGGAAAGATGGTTGGAGAGATTACTCCCACTTCCACATTCATTTTTACAACCGGAATGAGGTAGTGGTTTGAGTGTTGGACTAGGACTCTAGGAGACCAGGGTTTGAATCTCTGCTCAGCCATGGAAACCCATTGGGTATCCTCGGGCAAGTCTCAGAGGCAGGCAATAGCCTCAGAGGCAGGCAATAGCAAACCCCATCAGGATAAATCTTGCCAAGAAAACACCATGATACATTTGCCTTAGGGTTTCCATAAGTCAGAAATGGCTTGAAGGCACACAACAACAACAAAACAATGAAGAGCCACTTTCAGGAAAACAAACAATATTCTGTCAAATTGATTGGTTGATTGATTAATATCAGCAATCCTATTCATTTGAGTTGCTAAAGAAGTGTGTTTGCCAGGAACATTGATTCTGATCCAATAATACCTTGATACAAAGACCTGCCAATCAACTGAAGAATTTAAAACCACTAAGGACCAGAATATGGAAAGCTTTTTAGTCTAGCAACTA